TCCATGCTGTCTCAAAGAGGAAAATTTTCTTTCTTCCTTTTTTTTTTTTTATGACTGAGTAGTATTCCATTGTGTAAATGTCCCATAGTTGTTTTATCCACTCATCTACTGATGGGCACTGGGCTGCTTCTGTATCTTGAACATAAGGGTGCTTATGTTTTTTTAATTGGTGTTGGCAGATACACTCCCGGAAGTGGGATCACTGGGTCAAAAGGCAGATCCATTTTTAGTTTTTTGCGTTATCTCCATACTGCTTTCCGCAGTGGCTGCACCCATCTGCGTTCCCATCAAAGTGCAAAAGGGTTCTTCTCTAAATTCTCACTAGCGTTTGTTGTTAGTTGTTTTAGTGTTGATAACCATTCTGATCGGTGTGAGGTGATATCTCATTGTGGTTTTAATTCACATTTTTCTGATGATTAGTGACATTGAGCATCTTTTCATATGTCTGTTGGCCAGCTGCATGTCGTTTTTGAAGTGTCTATTCAGGCCCTTTGCCCATTTTTTAAATTGGATTGTTTGTTTTTCTTTTGTGTTGAGTTTTACGATTTCTTTATAAATTTTGGATCCTAACCCCTTATCAGGTGTATTGGTGAATATGTTCTCCCCTTCTGTGGGTTGTCTTTTTATTTTGTTAATGGTTTCCTTCACTGTGCGAAAACTTTTTAGTTTGATGTAATCCCATTTGTTTATTTATTCTTTTGTTGTCCTTGCCTGAGAAGCTATATCAGATAAAATATTGCTGCAAGCAATGTCCAAGATTTTAACTGCCTATGTTTTCTTCTAAGATTTTTATGTTTTCAGGTCTAACATTTAAGTCTTAAATCCATTTTGACTTTATTCTTGTGTGTGGTGTAATAAGGTGGTCTAGTTTCATTTTTCTACACACATCTGTCCAATTTTCCCAACACTTTATTGACTAAACTGTCATTAGCCCTTTTTATGTGCTTGCTTCCTCTGTCAAATAGTAATAGACTATAAAGGTGTGGGTTTATTTCTGAGCTCTCTATTCTGTTCCACTGATCTATGTGCCTGTTTTTATGCTAGTGCCGTGTTGGTTTGATTTCTCTGGCCTTATAGTATAGTTTGATATTAGGTAGCATGATTCCTCCAACTTTGTTCTTCTTTCTCAGGATTGCTGTTGCTGTGTAGGGCCTTTTTGCTTCCATATAAGTTTCTGAAATATTTGTTCTAGCTCTGTGAAATACATCATTGAAATCTTGATAGGAACTGCATTGAATCTATAAATTGATTGCTTTGGGTAGCATGGATATTTTAATGATGTTAATTCTCCCTGTCTAAGCACTCCTTCTGACTTCCTCCTCTTCACGTTAGTTGACATCTGGTTTGCCCCTCCCATTGTCACTTCCCTTATAACTTTTTACATTGAAGACTTCTTTTTTTCTTTGTCTCTTCCTCTCCTCTGTAACGTTCAACCATTGCTCTTTCCAACTTGCTGCCTCTCAGAGTCATTAAGACCGGTGCTTGAATGCTGATTTTTTTAATTATCCCCATATCATTTTTTTGATCTTACAATGGGGGAAATTGTACCTGTCTCCTCGGGTGCTGTCTGTTTCTTAGGGCTGCCACATATTACCACACACTGAGGGGATGAAAACAACAGAAATTTATCACCTCATAGTTCTGACATGGTTGATGAGTCTCCCTTCTTCACTGTGTTCAACTTCAGACTCATTTATCTTGGGGCCTTTACTTTCGTGCCTCCTGTTTGTGGTCTGTCTCCACATCTGCATCAACTTCATCTTATCTTCTCCTCTCTAATTAATGTTTTCTGTGGTAATTCACCACCATAGTTCTCACTTTGACTATTGTATGAGTGTCTTCCTAAATTGTATTTCTAGCCCCTTTTTCTTAGCTCCAGTGTTAGCCAGAATGCCTAAACTACACGCCTCCCCTCAAAATCAGCTCTGCACTTGACCTACTTTTTGTTAAGGGACCAGCAGCTGTGTGTCCTTGTGGTTAGGGACATGGCTCTCGGGAGCAGAGAGGTGTTGTGTGTGAATCCTTCAGAGCTCAGGAAACCTTTCCAGATCACTGTAGACTGGCATAGTCTTCTCGTCTAAGTACTTACTGTGCTTTCACTGAACAAAGCTGGATGTGGAGAGGAGTGTGGGGAGAGAGTGATAGCAGATGTGTTCCTCAGTTATCTTCAAATAAGAGTGAGGCAAGTTCATAAATCTGTTTCCTCGCGAACCCAGGGTAGGGTGCCTAGGAACTGTTGTCAACTGTTGATTTTTGAAGGTTTTTTTTTTTTTAAGTTGTAATTTTTCTTCCCCTGGAAGGCAGAACTGGTAAATAAGTTTAATTTCTGTCTCACAATGCAAAGGCAAATAGCAAATGAACTAAATTAGAGGGCACACGGCATGATTTTAATTAAGCAATTGTAGTTTTTAGTGTATTTCTGGTTGTGTTGCGACCAAAGGGTAAGGCTGGGAAAGATTTGCCTGTTTGTTTTTGAGATGTAGTTTCTTAGTTGGAAAAGAAATTTTAGACAAGGATTTCCTCTAACATACTGGCTTGCCAATAGAATGTTACATTTTATATTAATGATAATTAGGCATATAGTTACTTGAGTGTGGATTGACTTAGTTTTATAAGGTTTAAAAGTCAGATAGTTTAAACCATTTTTCTGTTGGTTTAGTGTGGCAGCACTTTGACACATCGCTTTTTTCACGTTGGCAAGACTCCCTATTTAATCACAGCTTCATTTGCTAATGGGTTCTGATCTTCAGGGATTCAACCCATGAGGACCATTAACCTAAGGAATGTAACTCAATTAGCTGTGCAGGATTGAAAATAAACTAATAGACTTTCCATTTGGAGAGGCTGGTATTTTGCTTTATTTATTTTTTTTCACATTGATCTAGTGAACAGTAAATGCATTATTTTGGTACCTGGTTCACCTTTGTCACAGGTGCCACTGGTAATCATTATTTTCTTAACAGCTTTGTTACCTGGTATTTTGAAAGTTTTTAGGAAAATTTGACATTGTTTTTTTCTATCCCATATTTTTTCCTTGGTACTTAAATTTGACTTGTCTTCAAGATGTCAGACAGTTTTCTTCATATGAATTGGTGTGTTAATTAAAAGTAAAAGCTATGTAGTATTTTAAAATTCTGTTTCCAGCACACACAAGAAGCATGTATGTTCTTATTTAGCATACCCTTGCTGAGACCAGTACTGTTTTCTAAAGTCGGGGAAGCAAAATCAGTATTGGCTTAGATCTTGGCTCAGTTCTGCTCTTCCATGACTGGTCTTTTTACAGTTTGGTGCAGATCAAATATTGTAAGATATTTACATCACTGATAACAAATTTTATGTATACCTTTAGGATTAAATGATCCAAGGTATTGTAAACCAGTTGGTGTTACTTACCTATTTGATTCTTTTTTTCTCCTGCATCATTTCATTTGAACTTGAGATTTTGGTTTAGGTATAATTGCTAAGTTAAGGTTAGTTTGGCTTATATTGAACATTTTCTCACATTTTTGATTAGCTATTCTTTGTTCTTGTTTTTCACTTTTTCTCTTTTCAAGTCCACCCAAGAGCAAAAACATAGTAAGAACATGTGGTGTTTGTAAGCCAGTATAATAAATTCAAGCCTAAACAAGTCAAATCTAATTATAGGACTGTTTTCTAGAGAGGATGTAGACATGCTCTTAAAACTGATTGAGGTAAAGCTTATATAAAACCTGGATTTCTGTTTCTCTTTTGTGAATTGAAGGTGAAAGGAGAAGTGTTATTTTACTCTGTTTCTGTACTAGTTTTATTTACTCTCTGTTCATTTGGACTTTGAGCAAGTTCAAATTTAAATAAAAAATAGGAAAGGAGATAGTAAACAATACATTTAGCTCATCTGTCTGTACTGTCTTGAGGAAGTAGAACACGGTTCAGAAAATTAGTTGGTATTTTCAGTTTTTTCATTTTGCATTTGGTTTTTCAAGAATGTTGTGATTGTATTCCGAGACAGTTGCATTTTCTTGGTTTTTCTGTGGTAATGAGCCTTCTTCTCTGGTCTGATTGTAGTTTGTGATTTTGGGGCTTTATGCATAGAGCATTTAGAGTAGAAGGGGCTTTAGAGGACATCTAGGGCAATATATCCTTTTTTGAAAGGAGGAAAGTGAGATCCAGTGAGCCATCCAAAGTTATGCACTGTGTTAGCAAAATCAGGACCATGAGAGAAAGGGCCTTTGGCTTTAGTCCTGTGACTCCCTGAGATGTGGCATTTCAAAAGGCAGGTATTTTTTGTAATCTTTGTCAGTTTGCCAGTTTCTCCCAAAGGAAGAAATTAGAAGCCTATTTTTAAAGCACTTACCACAAAGAATTAAATTGACCAACTTTGAAAATGCACATTGATTTTGATTTTGTCTGCTTTTACAACCCTGGTAGGAGGATCTGTGATTCAAAGAGAATGTAAAAGTTGAAGTAATTAACTGTTAGAAATGATCAGAATAGATATTGATTCTTGATAATCCTGCCCTGTGCAACCCAACACATTGAGAATTTGTAAGATCCATATCTGTACTAGATGTTCTGGTGATTTATGGTATATTTATGGTTAGATAAGGAATCCTCACCTTTGTGGGGATTTTGGTTTGGGGGAATTAGTACAGAATTAGAGGAAGTACATTTTATAACTATATGATTGCATATTTGTAATAAAAATGCCTCTTTTAAATTTCTAAGTGTATTCTGAAGTAGAAAGTCATTTATGGGCAAAAGAATTCATTATGATATTTCTGTTTGTTCATTTAGTCTTTTTTGATGGATATCACTACTTTAATTTTTCACCTTTATTTTTAAAAAGCAATCTTTTGGTAAGTTTTTGATAATGAGAAATAGTCATTTTATATTGTCTATTTTCCCTTTGAACATGCTAATCGAGTCAGTTGGGGTTTTTTCGGCAGTTCCCCAGTTCTGAATATTTTATTGAATTAAAAGATTACTGAGTCATGACATTATCTCTTCATTTCCTTTTGTAGCCAACACATATCTCTTTATGGTACAAGCTCGAGGAATGATGTTGAGAGAAAATGTGAAAACAATAGGACATATGATCAGGCTTTACACAAATAAAAACACTACACTCAACGGTACAGGTAAGATTGCTTCCTGCTTAATCTTGCTTTGCTTCTGCTTCTCATCCTTGTAGTTATAAAGCAGTAACCAGATCTCTCAAGCTCTGGTCCTGCCTGTTAAAGATGAGGGTATCTCCTAAGTGTATGGAGAACTTTTTTACTGATCTAGCCAGGACTGTCCATATTCTAGGATCTGTAAAGGTATGGTCCCATACCTAAACACAAGTGATGAGGGTTTTGTACAAGGATACGTAAGTTAATTTTTGCAAACATAAACAAAATAGAAAAGCAGCTTGTATTTTTTTCAATTCTATTGTATTTAAAAGAGAAATTAACTACAAAAAGAATAATGTATTCATAGTAGCTATTCTGCCCCCTTTCTTTATGCTCATTCTAATTCTTAAAATTTTTTCCAAGTATGTCTAGACAATACTTATTTTTTAAAAATTATAGATATTAATAATTTTACAGACTTTTTAGAAGCTAAAGGAAAAATTGTAAAAAAATTGGAAATCAGTGGCTGCTCTTAGTCTATTAAAAGTATTATCTGGAAGAAGGAGGTCCATTAGAACCATGTGAAGTTAAAATTTAAGTAATAGGCCAAGTTAGTGATGGTAAAATTGGTATCCACAGGTTTAACTGTTGTGGAAGGATGCTTGTGCTTCTCTGTGGCAGGATTTCCACATTGTTTCTGGAGGACTGTGCAGTGTTACTTTAAAGGGTTCAGTGGCTGATGGTCAGTTGTACTCTCTGTATCCTTATTTTATTTTATTTATTCTAAAGATTTTATTTATTTATTTTTAGAGAAGGGAAGGGAGGGAGAAAGAGAGGGAGAGAAACATCAGTGTATGGTTGCCTCTTATATGCCTCCTACTGGGGACCTGGCCTGCAACCCAGGCTTGTGCTCTGACTGGGGATCGAACTGGCGACCCTTTGGTTTGCTGGCCGGCACTCAGTCCACTGAGCCACGTCAGCCAAGGCTGTATTGTCATTTTAAACAGTTAAAATTAAAGATTTAATTTGTGTCAACAGTTCTTCATTGGCCACTGTAAGCAATATACCCACATACTCCACTAATGGGACATCCTTATCTCTCAACCATAGACGTTTTTTCTTAAAATGCATGTTAAGGTGGGTAATAGTTTTAGACCCTTCTAAATATTGAACACTGTAACATATAAATTCTTAGTTTAATTATATATATGCTTCTATAAAATCCATTTTAGTCATTTGCCAAATTTGTGTTATGATCACAACAAATTGAAACACTCTTGTTTTCTTTTTAATTTCTTTTAGAAAGACTGTCTCATTGTAGTTGATATTTTAATAGTACAGTTAAAGTCTCATTAACTGGTGTGAATACTAGGCCAATTTTAGAAGTTTATATATTTTAAAAGCTTCTTTAGGACTTACCGTGATTGAATGAGTTGACCACGAAGGTGTTCATTAACAGAGATATGAAGCATCTTTAGATTACTGTATTTGTATAAATGAATTACTAAAATTCTCTGTATAATCAAGTTCTTTTCCTGGGGTATGAGTAAGTAATATGTGTGAAATTTTAAGCATAATTAGGAGAACCAATTGCTTGGACAAAATGAACTTCCCCCTCAACCTCCTAAAACTGAAAGTAAAAAGAAATCCTCTCCTCTTTTCACCAAGCCATAGTTTCAATGAAGACTGAATAGCCAATGCATACTTTGATTAAAGTTTGCTTACTTTTAGGAACCTTTGAAAACTTTCCATATGTTCCTTTATTGGCAGTAAATTGTTCTCAGGAGACAGTCAATCATTGTATCAGGTAGGAATTGGGTTTGGTTGTAAGAGAGACCCAACTGCAATGCTTTAAACACATGAGGATTATGTTCCAGTTTGGAAGTGGCATGTCTGGGACTCTGTGTAGCTTCACAGTCCAAGATGGCTGCCAGGGCTCCAGTCTTTGTGTTGATACGTGACTCAGTAAGAAGGAGAAAAGGATGAGGGAAGTCTTCTGGAGCCTTCCAGGAAGTCCCACACAGTATTTCTGTTTACATCTCACCAGCCAGAACTCAGTCATAAGCACACGGGGAATCACAGTCTCTGAGCTGGCTCACTGGTGCTCTGAATAAGATTGGGGTTCTGTTACCTAGGGAAAGAGGGGAAAGGGAGTTTGAGTAGGCGCCTCTGAGCCTCTGCCATTTTCATTTATATTGAACAATTAGTACAGTTGGTATATTTACCTAGATATTGGGGATGCAGCATTCACAAAAACATCCTCCCTTTATGTGAGGTGTCTGGGAGGGATGGGAGCATATTTATAATGCAATTGTTTATTTCTGTATGAACTTACACAAATATGATATGCCAAAAAAGGAGATAATTGCCAATAAGATGTACAAGAGCTAGCGGGATTCTAGGGGCCAACTAATTAACAGGCACTGGCTCATTTAAAATTTAATAGTTAGATTAGATCTTAAAGGTTCTCCTCACCAGGCAAAAATTTGTAACTGTGTGAGGTGATGGATAGGAACTAAACTTGTGGTAGTCATTTTGCAACATACTTCTGTCAGATCATTATGTTGTACACCTTAAAGTAATGCAATGTTACATGTTAATGAAAATATAAAAATGAAAATTTAACATTTAATGGTAAATAGGTTGTGATATTTATAAGTACATTTGATTTCAAAAAGGGGCTTTTAACCCTGTACCTGATGTTCTAAAGCATCAAAAGTTAATAGATTATATATAATATTTTTGTAAAGAAATCACATACTCTCATCTAACAGTGCCATGCCTTGTAGCTATGGAGTCAGTCAAATTTAAGAAATGAGATACATTCAGTGAATAATTACCAAAGCAGATGAAAAGGGTCATGTAATGTGGGAGTTGGCAGGTTTGTAGAAATAGGCCCTCAGACACTGCCACACGGACACGATAAGCTAGTGGTAGGCAGATTAGAACTCTCATTGAGTTTCTGTTACCACTTTAACCTGCCCTTTCGCAGGAAAAACAAAGCCCTCCATTGGTCTCCGTGGGTCCTGTTCTCCTTTTCCAGGCCAGTGAGAGCTGGTGTGGGGAACCCGTGTGGCACTCTTTATTCTGTGTTTCCCTTTCCTCTGGGTGTGGCTCGGGAAGGGAGGAAAAGGCAGGAGGCCCAGAAGTCCCTGTGTGTGCTTGTTCATCCATTCATTAGATGAAATAATGTCTATACTTTAGAGCAGTTGTGGTGGATGAGTCTAAAATGCACCTATCTATCATGCATACATATCCTTTTCAAACTGCTCCTAACCACCTTGTAGGAATAATGATTTTGTAGATTGGTTACAGTATACTCCCCAAAACCTTAAGTCATTGTTGGCCCTGTTATCAGTTGTAAAGTGTTCATTCGCATTAAGTTTCTACTATGTTGTAGGTATTTTATCAGATACCTTAAATCAGAGGAAATTTGAATTCAAAAAGGAGATACAGTGGCAGACTAGTGGCGGGGGTGGGTAGACTCATATACATAACATGTTGGGATGACATACATGTCACTCGACAGTACCAAGGAGCACAGGGATGCTTCCGTAAGTCTGGCAATGAGTTGAGATCCTTATGATCATTTATAATGACGTGGCCAAGAATAACACTTTTAGCTCCAAAACTTTGTATTTAAGGGATGCGAATATACTGATACAGCATGTCTTTAAGGTTTTCTTTTTCTTTTTTTTAAATGTTTTTTATTTTATTTTTTTAACTTTTAAGTCATGTTTATTCTATTACAGTTGTCTCAATTTTTTCTCCTTTGCCCCCCTCTGCCCATCCCACCCCCACCCCCTGCTCCCACAGTCAATTCCCACTCTTGTCCATGCCCATGGGTCATTCATACATGTTCTTTGTCTAGTCCCTTCCTCTTCTTTCCACCATTGTCCTCTTTCCCCATCCCCCTGGTCACTTTCAGCCTGCTCCACGTTTCCATGCCTGTGGTTTATTTTGTTCATTAGTTTATTTTGTTGAATAGATTCCACTTATAGGTGAGATCATTTGGTATTTGTCTTTCACCAACTGGCTTATTTCACTTAGCATAATATTCTCCAGTTCCATCCGTGTTGTCGCAAAAGGTAGGAGTTCCATCTTTCTTCCCCTTCCCTCCCCTCGCCTCCCCTCTCCTCCCCTTCCTTTTTAAAATGCAGATCAATTTTACTTTTTTAAATGTCAAAGTCATTTATAAAATGTTAATAAATTTAAAACCATTATAAAGTCTCAGCAATTAAAACAACATGGCACCAGCACAGAAATAATCAAACAGATCAATGAAATATAATGAGCATTCTAGAAATAAATGTATATATCTAATAATGTAATATATGATTAAATTGATATTTCAAATCAATGGGTAAAATAAGGCTTATTCAACAAATAAGGTGCATGGGCCACTATTTCTTGTAATAAAACAAATATAGAGCCCTATTTCACACATTATACAAGAAATATTCAGGTGAGTTAAAAGTCAATATTTAGAATCTAAGGAGTTTTAGGAGAAAATACAAACTAATATTTTTCTTACCCTGAAGTGAAATATTCAAACCCTGAAGCTATAAAGTAAAATATTGACAATATTACTATATTAAACATTTAAGACTATATAGTAATATACATATTAAAAAGTTAAAAGACAAGTAAGAATGGGAAAGTATTTGCCACACTTCTAAAAAGGGTTAATAGTTTTTTTTTTTAAGGGAAAAAATCTACAAACCTTTAATCAAGAAATGGATAAAGAATACCAAAAAGTCATTTAAAGCTTTTTAAAAATAATAGAAATAGACAAGAAATATACAAAAACAGGTTTAGTTTAAACAAATAATAAAGTAATTAAAATAACACATCATTGTCACAATCAGATTAATAAGTATTAAAAATATTGGTAATATCAAGTATTGGCAACTGTGAAAGGAACTGGGTATTCATAGACTTTTTTTTCATCTTAAAGCAGTCCCTTTAGCATATTTTGCAGTGCTGGATTGGTGAAGATGTATTCTTTTAGCCGCCTTTTGTCTGGGAAACTCCTTATTTTGCCTTCCATTTTCGTTGAGAGCCGTGTTGGGTAGAGCAGTCTTGGTTGCTGGCCTTTGCTTTTCATTACTTGGACTATTTCTTGCCATTCCCTTCCGGCTTGCAGTGTTTCTGTTGAGAAGTCAGCTGCTAGCCATATCAGGGCTCCCTTTTAAGTTACTACCTCTTTCTCCCTTGCTTCCTTTAGGATTCTCTGTTTGTCTTTGATATTTGCCATTTTAATGATGATGTGTCTTGGTGTGGGCCTCATTGGGTTCCTCTTGAATAGGACCCTCTGTGCTTCCTGGACTCGTGGGACTTTTTCTCTCCTCAAATTAGGGAAGTTTTCCATCATTACTTTTTCAAACAGGTTCCCTATCCCTTGTTACTTTTCTTCTCCTTTTGGTATCCCTGTTATATGAATATTATTATGTTTCAGGTTGTCCTGCATTTCCCTAAAAGCCTCTTCATTCTTTTTTCATTTTCTTGCTCTTTCTGGGAGCTTTCTTCTACCTCATCATCCAGCTCGCTGATTCCTCTACTTCTACTTCTTCTAGTCAGCTTTTAATTCCTTCTACTGTGTTCTTCAATTCAGAAATTGTATTCTTCATTTCCTCTGTGTCTTATTGATAGTTTCTGTGCCCTTTTTTCATGCTGATGTAGTTTGCAGTAAGTTTCTCGTCGTTTCCCTGTAGTGTTTTGTAATTCTCTCTGAGCTCACTGAGCTCATTGAGCTTCCTTAGAACTGTTGTTTTGAACTCAATATCTGATAGTTTACTTGCCTCTATTTTATTTATTCTCTTTGTGGGGATTCCTCCTTTCCCATCGAATGGGGGGTATTTCTTTGTCTTCTTATTATTTGTGAAGCTCCTCTTTTTTGCTTCTGCTTCTTAAGTTGATCTGCCTTGATTTCCTGACTTTGTGGTGTGAACTTCTATGGTAGGAGACTGCTGTTTTTACGTTCTGGATCTGCCTCTGATTATGTCAGATGTTGTCCCTGTCTGACCTTAGGCAGTCTGTTTGAGACCTCCAGGAATCTACTGTCTGTGGCTGTCTCCTTCAGCTGTTAATCTATTCACTCTGCACTCAGCCGTCAGGCTTAGATAGCACAGGGTGGGGAAGAATCCCACCTGGGGGTGGGGCTATTGAGTCCTCTGATGGAGTTGCTGCTCAGGGGGGGTGGTCTCTCTGCCTGGGCAAGATGGCTGCTGCTGTTTTGCGGATGATTCAGCACCGAGATCCCGCTGGCTACTCTCTCAGTTCTCTCCCCAAAGCTTCCTTCCCCAGTTTCTCCTCAGGCGTCTCTAGCCCACTCTGCCCCCACCTTTGCTGGAGACCAGGGCAAGTGGCTGCAAATAAAAATTTATGTGTTGGCCCTTTAAACAGCTCTTTGCGTCTCCAGCCTCCCATCTCTGGCAGAGAGCAACCCTGCCTCTTTTCGCAGCTGGCTGTTTTCTGTGTACTTTTTGGGCTCTGGTGCTGTGGGCTGGAGATCCCTACTTTTGGTTTAGACCCCACTCTTCTCAGGGGGATCCAACTGTCCCTTTCAATATCCTTCTGATGCTGCCGCCCGTTGGGGCCCTGCCCGCCTTCTTGAGTCTTTACTGTGCTCCTTACCAGTTCGATTGTGCTAAAGCTGATTCTTCTGTCTCCAGGTTATAAGGCTTCTCTCTAGCTATTGTTCACGTGTTTGTTCCAAGTGATTTCTGCACAATTTAGTTGTAATTCCAGGTTGGTCCTGGGAGGAGGTCAGTGTGGCTTCCACTCACTCCTCTGCTATCTTGATTCTTTGGAGTTTTTTTTTTTAAACATGGTTTTTTAAAAACTGATACAAGTGATGCATGGATTCTTTTGTGAAAAATTTAGTCATTCTCGCACTAAAATAAAAAGTGAGATAATCTTCTGGCTCTCCTGTTGTGACCACGCACCCCCAGGGGAGCTACCATTAGCGGTGTGTTTTGCAGAGAGATGTGTTTGTAGAGAGCTCACATTTTCTGTGAGTTGGATATGGATTTACTGAACCATAGTGTGTGGCTAAGAGAAGGGGATCCAAGCATTAATGACAAGAATTAATAAATTATGCAGAGTAAGAAAACATTCTTAATGATAGTTAACCGATGACATTAAGGATTACATGAGAATACTAATATTTATGTGCCTCAGCATAAGAACACGAGTCTTTGGAACACATAAGGCTGTGGACTTTCAGGGAAAATCTTAGTTATCTTCTGTTTTCAGCTCTTGCAAATACATAGTGTATATCAGATGCTTAGCTAGGATAGCACAAGTCCCCAGAAAAGGAGAAAATTTGGGGGTGGATATAACTTTAAATTTTATATATATAGAGAGAGATATATACGTATATATATATTTTAAAGCATCGTAAGGACAGAATCACCTTTATTGGATTTCCTTATACTTATTTATGTGGTGTATCTTTAAATTTTCAGATATTTGTGGGAGAGACACAGATTATGGGCTACTAGAGGGGTTTCTGTAGTTTTATTCTTTCCCTGGGCATACAGAACGGTTAATGTCCATTGAGTCCCCTTCCTTTTGGCTTGGAGGATTTTCCTCAGGTGCTTTCCAGAGAAGGGCATTGAGGAGGATTCTCTCACCTGGGCTTTCCCACTTCCTGGTGGACTAGGCCTTGGCAGCTGTATCATCAGTGGTCCCCATTTGTCACATGGTTGTTTTCTGGCAACACAGTTACTGAGGCCCTGCCAAGTTCTAACCCGGATTCCTGTGCAATCCTTTGGAATCCTCCAGCGGCTGCCTCTTTATTGGTACCAGACCCCCCATAAACCTCTGTTTAGCAAACCTCTGCAGGGGCCTGAGGAGCAGGTGGGCCTGGAGGTGGCCTGACTCTCCACTCCGAGTGACGTCCTGGCTCCTGGGTGCATCCCCCTAAATTCCATTTTGGTGATAAGTGAATATGGTAGGCAAAGGCATACAGAGAAGTGTTTAGTTTTCTTTGACTCTTCTCTCATATTTTATATTCAGTTTTCAGGATTCTACCATTTTTCCACAGTGAGAGGGGTTGACTTTTACCATTCATAAGGTATATGATTTTGACCTTCAGCCTCTTTTGCTTGCTGGTCACTGACTGACAGGCCTCTCTTTTAAGTCAGACGCCTGTTCTCCTCTTCCCTGTCTCTTTTCACGCAGGCCAATTCGGATAGGGATCTCACTCTCATCAGAGCAGATTACTAAAGACTGAAAGAAAGCCTTCACATTTTCCAGAAGTGCCTGCTCTAGCTTCATTTTCTGTGGGTCTAGGAGACAGAAAGTAGTTTAATCAGCTGTTTCCATCTCTCATCTTTTACTTGCTCACTGCATGTTAGTCTCATTCTCTTAGACTGGCTTCCTCTTGCATAGTGGGAAGCTGGCAGGTTGGAACTTTGTTCCAAAAGGGACTGAAATGTGATCTCTGGCTCCATGTACAAAACTCTGAAGGCTCCAACTGTCCCAGATTGTGTCAGGTGTTCCTCTCTAAACCAATTGCTCACAGCTACAGTTACTGAATATGTGCTCGTATATGGGACAGGGATTGCTCTAAGCACTTGATACATTTATTTTAGTGAGATCTGAAAACGACAACATGAAGTGGGCACAGAGGAGAAACCACATTATCTTGCCATGTACCACAAAGCTAATATGTGTTGTGAGCAAAGATCTGAACTCAGCGTTTGACAGTGGGGCTCTAGACCAGTTCCCTCTCTGCTTTGTAGCTTGCGGAATCTAAAGAAAATGGACCTATTGTCATAGCAGCTCCAGGGCTCCCCAGGGAGTGCAGCCCACAGGTTGGAAATGACTAATTTAAAGACTTAAAATGAGCTGTGTTACAGAAGTAAATGGAGTGGGTAAATTTTAGTTTCCTAAGTGTGGGGTGGTGAGAAAGCATTACTCCCACTCCTCTGCTCTGTGGCTGCTAGAAGCAGGGCTGTGTCTTTGCGGTTGTCCTGAACTCCCTTGGCTATTGTAGCGGAGAGGATTCCCCGAGTCCCTGGTGTACTGTCAAACTCCCCTTCCATCCGGGTCAGCCAGGGGAGGGATGGGAGCAGGTGTTCTCCTGTGGTCACAGATGGGCCTGCTCTGTATTCATGCATGGATCGGGCCAGGATGCTCTCTGAACTTGTCCCAGGGTTCCCTTGGGAAATCTCACTGAGGTCCATTCTGGCAGCAGTGATGATAAATGGGAGAGTAGCCATGGCAACAGCATTTTGCTTTTCCTTAGTTCTTTATAGGTAATTCCGATTAAGTACTTCTGCAGATTGTGTATTGCAGATCTCACAGTGATGGCCACGTATTTCATACTAGGAGCAAAGCAAAAGGTAATTTTTTGGTTGTAACTTTCTTCTCTCTCTCCAAGATTATCCTGAAGGCAGTAATTCAAGTGATTATCTTGTTCAAACAACAACATATCTTCCGGAAAACTTCACATATTCACCATACCTCCCCTGCCCAGAAAAACTGCCTTACATGCGTAAGTGTCATCTAATTTTGACTTAACTCTTTGCTTGTATTATAATAAAATAAGAAAAATCACACGATTTTAGCACACCAGGCTCAGATCATTACTGTGGAGGCTAATGTTCATATTATGTAGCATGTTTTTCGATTATTTTATTTTTACAAAGGATTTTTTTTGGGGGGGGGTGATTAAAAGCTGAAGAAAAAGCTTATCCCTTACCCAGAAGTATCAAAAACTTCTATTGTGAATTTGATATGTATTCTTACAGCTTATTTTTAAATTACTTTTTTATGTAGCTAGAAGGCTGGATAGAATATTAAAATGTCTCGGAGATTTTAAACATTTATATAAATGGTCTTCAATTCCATTTCATTCTGTAAATTGAATTGCTTTTTTTTACTTAACAATTTTTGGGAATTAGCCATGGGGATACACATAGATCTATTTATGTCTCTTAACTGTTGTATAGTACATCTATGAATAAATGTACCACATTCACTTGCCTTTTTCCCTGATGATGAAAATTTAGGTTGTTTCCACTTTTTTGCTATCACAAAGCAATGCTGTGGGGAACAGCAGACTGCATCTTTCTCTGTGCGCATGTGTGTATGTGCTTGACCAGGGTTCACACCCAGAAGCGGAATTGCTGGGCATGCTGGTGTGGTTGTGAGCCAAAGCAGCTGTACCCATTTATGCATGGATCCCCCACACCCAAGCGTGAACGTGCACTTTGGTATTGATAGACTTTTTAATTTTTGCTAATCTGATAAATAAAAATTGTATCTCATTGTTTCAAATTTTACTTTTTTCATTACTAGTGGGTTTAGGTAATTGTTCACACGTTTATGAATCATTTTGAATTTTCTCAGTCACATGCTTTATCAGTTCCTTATTAATTAATTAAACTTTTTTATTGATCATTGGAAGTTTTTTAATAGATATTCTTGGAGTGACCTGCTGTCTGCTGTATCTGTTGTAATACCTTTTCACACTCTCTGGTTTTTTTCATTTTGTTTTTGGAGTCTTACATTTGACAGCAGTTTAAAATTAGGATGTTTTCAGGTGTATCAATAACTTTAAGGTTTTCGCTCTTTTTGTGTGTGTTAAGAAAGATTCCTGTACCTCAGCACTGTACAAATACTCTCCTTTATTTCCTTCTAATAATTTTACTATTTTTTTAAAATTTTGTGTACAGTATGAGGTAGGGATCAAGATAATTGTGTTTTAAATATATATTTTTTCAAAATTATGAAGATAATACATTACCACTATTTTTAAAAACTATAATTACTCAAAAGCCACATGGCTATTATTGTGGCATTTTTTTTTCATTTTAAATATAGTTATACATGTAAGATTATATTTTGATTTTTATATAATTAAAAATATAAATAAACATCTTTTTGAATTGTTTATCATTGTGTTCTAATGTCCTTTTCACCTAAGGGTGTTTTTTATGTTTTTACCTGAGTTTTCTTTACTGAGGAAATCAGCTATTACCTGCCATATTTGTAGGATTCTTTTCAATTTGCAGTTCATAGAAATTAGATTAAAAAAAGAAAGACTTGCCTTTCAGTGTCATCTAAGGCCATGGTTCTCAACTCTGGCATGTGTCAGAATCACCCAGGTGGTCTTACAAAATGCAGGCTGCTAAGCCCCACCCTCAGAGTTTCAGATTCAGGAGATCTGGGGTTTTCATTTCTAACTGGTTCCCAGAGGACCTTGATTCTAGCGATACTTGGGCCACATATTGAGACCCACTGTTCTAGAATAGTGGACCTCATTTCTGGATGCACAATAGCCTGGAGAGCTTTTATAATTCTTGGGCCCAACCCCTAAGTTTTTGACTTTGCTGACCTGACTTGGGGCCTGGGCATTTCAATTAAAAAAAAAAAATGCTCAGCTGATTCTAATCTTGTTGTCTCCTTAATTTGTTATTGCAGCCTTGGTTTTCTAAAAATGAATGTTTTTGTCAATGTAGGGCTGAAACCACTGGGGAGCGTTCTGTTGGAATATTGATTGTAATAATTTCATTTTCACAATTTGCATATTCACATATTTAAAGACTTTAGGAAGTCCTTCTGTTCTTGGTTTAGTTGCCATTTTCTTAATTAGCACTTTGTGAACCCTAATTAAACTCTGTTGAGAAGCATCTGCCTGCCGGACCCTCCTGCCGGCACTACCCTCCTCCAGGCCCCAGCTTCTCAATACCTGTTACGAGCCTGAGAAATTGTGCCGGGGCTGCTGCCCACCGCACTGCCTTTTCACAGAGCATCTTGGTGTGCCTGCTCCTTTTCTCTGTTTCTCTCAGAGTCTCGCATTCTTCTGCGAGAGAGGGCCACACTCGTTTGGCCAGCCACCTTTTCCCAGAAGGCCTCCTCCTGGGCAGCCGCCTTTGAGTCCGGCACCAATCGCTTGTCCAGTTAACCTTGGCCACAGTGATGACGTTATTTGGTAGAAAGTATGGCCGCATACAGATAACTCCTTAGAAAGGGGCCATGGGCACAGCCAACGTAATAAGACTTCTTTGCCAAGGGAGCCTTGCATGAGCCATCGGGGAGAGCCACTCCGCTAGCCATGTGAGGTTTTGCAAAGTGGAGCCACAGTTTACCTGTGTGTAAAATCTGGGACTATAATAGCAACTTCAGAGTGCTGCAAGGATAAATAGCACAGTGCTGGAAGCTTAACAGAAGTGAATTTGATATTCCCTTCCCTTCTCCTCACTTCTTTGAATGACGTCGTCAGGTTTTATAGTGATCAAGGGAACGAGAAACCAAGGAGAAATGTGCAGAGTTAAAGAGTTTTATAGTTAGTTATGGGTCCTTAATTTTTTTTAATTAACAAAGTTATTTTCCATCGATGATAGATCCAGCATAATAAAACTCCTAAGTGTAAAATCTTATTATAATAGCCCACAAAATAATGGAATACAATACCTCCCCAAATAATAGTTAAAGGAAGTTTTTTTTGTAAGAATAAAATCTACTTAGGCAAAAACCATTCAAGTGTGAATGATACTTAATTTTCTTATTATCACCAAAAGTGAAATTAAGGCTTACAATTGGTGTGTTTGATTGTCTAGCTGTAACATCTTTTTGATTTTTCTCTAGTGTAGCAATGAGACTACTGGCGGTGGATTGCCATAAAGATACAATTTGAAATTTCCAATTGGAATTTAGATAAAATTGATTTCATGGATTTCAGAAATAATTTATTTTCAATCGGTTACACCAATCTATTTTAATGCAATTATGTATACAATATGAGTGAATACTTCTTTGTTACTCTTAGTACTTACAGATTCTCCAGAGAGCAACTATACATTCAGTTTTATTAAATTTGTGTGACTGTACTAACAAAGTGAAATAGAAATTTCACTTTGCTAAAAAGCAACGAATGCTTATCATGGATGTTTTGCTTTTTCTGGGTAAAGAAGAGATGGAAAGTGTCAGCTGTGCACTTAACATTAAAATGAAGGTAGATCTATCTACCTGTTGTTTTCCTGTCTTCTAATTCTTATTTGAATAGAATCCATTTGCAGTGGCTTTTATATTCTGTCCTTACTGTTTGTGGAATAGCTCTTTTTATGGATTAACCCTGATAATTTCTATAGTTGCTAGCCTTTTGAACATAACAAAAGCTACAAGGACTCTTTGAGATGAATTTAAATTATTCAGATGAAAGTCGGCAAAGATGGAAAAGGTAAGCAAATAAACTTCAGGAAAGCTCAAATAATGATTAGTGTAACAAACCATTGCTCGAATGTTTATTGTAGAAAACAGAGATGATATGTCATTTCAGAGTAAACAAGCAATTGTTGAACAGCGGCTGCACATGCAGCAGGCTGTGTGTTGTTCATAGGAGCAGGAAGAGCAGAAACAAAGCTAAATACAGTCTCATGTATCCCAGCTAGGGCAGGTAACATGCTCAGAGAAAGGCTGTGTGCTAACTGCAAAAGGGTTCTTATGTGATGAAAGGGAGATAGAAAGCATTTCATTCTGGAAGGAAAAGGGAGATTTCCGAGAGAGGGCCATCTGAAGTAAGGAAGGGGAACAGCATCCGAGCACGAGAGGCTCTATATCCCAGGAATGGAGGGGGTTCCCCCGTGACGGAGGTGGGCATGTAATGGGGCAGGAGAGAAATAAGGCCGGGCAGGGAGGTGAAGGGCCATGAGGAAAGGACTAAGCAGTCTGAGGGCTTTGTGGGTTCCAGGGGTCCCCAGGCACACGAGTGGGCTTCAGAGGGAGCGGAGCCCCTGAGTGTTTACGGGACAGGTTGAGTTATAGCCTCATCTTCATCTCTCTAAGGGGAGGGTGCAGAGTTTTTAAAGATACAGGGGAAAAAAGGACAAAACAGAAACAAACAAAAACCTCTGTTCTGGAAAAGGGAGTATTCATTTGCTTCAGGCAGATGAATGATAACGATTAGGATGGTATTTCAGAAACATGGTACTTCTTATGAGAAGTTGAAAAATGGATGAGAGTGGGGAAATACTGGAATCTGGAAGACCAGTGAGGCCCTTACTGCTGGGGGCTTGAGTGAGTGTTAGGCATGATGGAAAGGAACTATGGAGAGACCAGGGCATGTGCCGAGGCAGTGGCATTGGAGAGAGGAGGGGGCACTAGAGAGAAGCTGTCGGGGTACTCGGTGTCAGAGGTAGTGACCAACTGAGGAATCAGGGTTAATTTTCAGGTTTCTGGCTTGACGACCATTAACTAAAACAGGTAATGCAGGATAAGCATCATATTTGGAGAATGGGGGGGTTAATGAGTTCAGTGTTGGGCCTGTTTTGTTTAAAGCTCAAGAGAGTTACCTTGAGGTCTGAATTTCATTAGAGAGTTCTGGGCTGGGAGTAAGAGGAAGTGAGCTTGGAAGGCTAAGAGTTGGTTCTTGGGGGCCTCAGTACTTACAAGGGTGAGGAGTCATCAGCAGAAGAAAGGAAAACTGGGAGATAGAGGAGTCAGAGAACATTGCCCCAGAAGCCAACGAGGAAAGAGTTCCAAGGACAGAGT